ATCCCTCCAGTGATGGAGCTGCTCAGTAGCCCTTGCAAGCTGTGTGTCCTGTGCTCCATACAAGCATGAATCCCACTAGCATTGGCCTTTGTGTGCAGAGTGCTAAGCTTTGGCGTGAAGGTCTCTGCTATACATGACCATTTTTGGATAGATAAGCGACCAGTGCTACAATCACACCAACATACACCCCTGTGCCAATGGTGATGGAGAGTGCAGCGAGGAAGAGGGCTCGCCGGGAGGCTGAACTTGCCACGTGGAAGTCCCCCTTGGAGACAGCCTTACTGGTCTGGAAAGAGAAGACCATGTGTAAGTCACTATTAACGTCATCTAAATCCTCTGGGGATGAGGCCTGACTGTTCACTTACTTCAAGGAATAGCACTGACTTCCAACATTTATTCCCCTCTTCCCTTCTGTGCAACTTTACGCTTACACAGCTTTCCTTTACAATGTAGGTCTGAGGGGTTAGAAGTTCAAAGTACATGTGTGCATCTGATATCCTTAAACTCCGCTCTCATGGTACAGGGATAATAGCACCATCTCTTCCCACCAAAATACTTTTTGGGAAATAGCCACAGCTACCCATACCTTTGTAGATGGATCAGTTTTTTAACTGGTTGTGTTTGGACTTCTGAATAGGTCACTTTGCACTTGTGTTCTTGAAATATAAGTGCAAGAGAAGTTCATGATGTCATGCCAGAAGGATTGCATATGAGACATTAGCTATATGAGACATTAGCTATATCATGGTACTAATAGTCTTTAGTATGTTGCCTAATCAGGAATAGGCAAAATATTTCTGGTTACCCTGTATTAAAAAGGGGATAAAAAAGAATACTGAATAAAGTCATTACATATATTGGCAGGTTGCCCTCCTGTGCTGGCCACATCATCTCAAAAAGGATATGGCAGTTATAGAAAGAGTTTGAAGAGAAGCAATGAAAATGATCAACGGTTTAGAAATACTTTCACGGGGAGAGTTAAAAGGTTTTTTCCAGGCTTCTGACCATTTTCATAACATGAAAATAATCACAGAATAGTGACTAGGACAAAAGATATAAATGGTATGCTGTCCTTTACACTTTTTCATAATCCCAGAGCACAGGGAAATTTTGGGCATGTCTACAGAGCAGGGCTAAAGTCGAAATAAGTTATGCAACTTGAGCTACGTCAATTGCATAGCTTAAGTCGAAATAGCTTAACTCGGCTTTTGGCGTCGTCTATACAGTAGGAAGTCCAAGAAAGAGCACTCTTCCTCCAACTTCCCTTACTCCTCGTAAAATAAGGGTTACAGGAGTCAGAGTAAGAAGTCCTCCAGCTCGACATTATTTTGACATTATGTTGAAATAATTGTTTGTAGTGTAGACTCAAACTGTTATTTCAGAATAACATCAGTTATTCCAAAACAACGCTGCTGTGTAGACCTAGCCTTTATTGAAATTAAAAGGCAACATATTTAAAAGTGAAAGACATTTTTCCATGATGCTTAAATAAGCTGTGGAACTCATAGCCACATGATATTAGGACATAGTGGCGTCAACATGTATCTGAATAACAAAAATACTGCAGACATATTAGTAAGGATAAACCAATCATTGACTGATGGGGCGAAGAAGAATCTCCCCAGAGAAGAAGATTATTCCATAATCAATTGCTATAGGAATTTACACTTTGGCATTTGGTTTTGGATACACTCAGGCTGTGTCTACACTGGCGCAATCTTGCGCAAAAACTTGCTGCCTGTCTACACTGGCCACGTGTTCTTGCGCAAGTAAACTGACGTTCTAATGTATAAAATCAGGGCTTCTTGCACGAGAACTCTGACGCTCCCGCTCAGGAATAAGCCGGAAAAAAAGCGGCGGCCATGTTTATTTAAATCCCGCGGGGGATATTTAAATCCCCCGCGGATTTCCCTATTCCCACTTTCAAAATTAGCATGCCCCTTCCGAAGAAGGGGCCAGTGTAGACAGAGCCTCAGTGTTTAATCAGCAGGTCAGCAAAGGGAGGTGTTGTTATCCCCTTTCTATAGAGGGGGAACTACAGACAACATGAGAGGCCATTACTACAGAGATAATGAATGAAGAGCTCCCTGCAATGAGAAACAGAGGCCAATCTCTGCTCTGTCCAGTCTCCAAGGAGGCCTTTTGCTGACTCTGGAACAGTTTGGAATAGCCTGGAGGCAGCTCCAAGCTATCCCAGACAGTACAAGTAATTCAGGACACCAACCCATCTCCAGGGATAGTTGGAACACAGAAATTGAAGCAGGACAATGTAGGAACTGATGATAACAGCTCCATCCCAGCCAAAGACTCCCCCATGCTGGAGAAATTCTCATTTAGCAAGTTGCGGTCAGGTTCGGGTCCCTTTGCACCAGCAGAACGGCACAAAGAGGCCCTGGTCTGTAGCATCTAGTCTCTGCACTTAAAGGAAAGTCCTCTAGTTCCCCCACACAATCATAGAGAACCCTGGCTGCAGTGGAACCATGTAACTCTGCTGTGGGGGTGGGGACAAAGGGTGCCCAGAGCAGTACATGGCCTGGAGCATGACAGAGAGGTGTGTCTCCCTGACCTGAAAGGTGCCAGGCCCTGACTCAGGGGCTTCTCCTGGCTTGCAGGGTCCGTGTGTAAGAGCAGTTACCTAGCCCAGCATGTGCAGCACAGAAAAGGAGGATGGGATTCCTCACCCCATGGGAGAAGTAGAAGGCAGCGATCCCCAAGGGCCAGAAGCAGCAGAGCATTGAAAAAATGGCCAGGCCCAGGTGGTCTCGTGGGGGAAGCATTAGGAAATGATCTTCACTCTCACTGTCACTCGAAGAATCACTCTGGAAAACAAACAAGGTCATTGCTGTTGTGGCACCATCAAGCCTGGAAAGAGCCCAGGATGAGAGGGCCTGGGGAGTAGCAGGGCAAACACACCCCATTCACCCCTCAGTGGGACAGCTTGGCATGCCTGACACATATGTAACCCTCAAACATGTCATGAGGCCAATCTGTCAAAAATGGGGGGGGCCTGCAAACAGCTGACACAGGGGCTTCTCTCCTCCCACCAGGGTGGCACCAGCCTGCACTGGAGGGATCTGCCACAGGGATAAAAAAGGAGTTTAGTTGCTATGGCCTGTCGAAGCCTCAGTTGCAGGAGGAGAACAGGTGTGAGGGGAAGTGGGCTGAGATGGAGGATCTCATGGCTCACATACTGCCACACAGCCACCAGTGCAAACAACTTACGATCAACACCAAGGAAGTCAGAGCTCTTGACACAAAATGCTCTGTGTCCTATTGCTAACGGCTTTCTCTGAGGCTACGGCTACACTGCCATTTTTTTGCGCAAGAGGATATGCAAATGGTGCTCGCATTTGCATATCTTCTTCCAATTCTTTATGCGGAAGAGATTTTGCCGATAAAAAGCCCCGTGTAGATGGGGCCATTTTTTGGAAAAAAACCCTCTTTCACAAGATCCCGTAAACCTCGATTTTTGAGGAATAAGGGATCATGCAAAAGAGGGGTTTTTTACGACAAATGTCCCCATCTACACGGGGCTTTTTATCGGCAAAACCTCTTCCACAAAAAGAATTGGAAGAAGATATGCAAATGCGAGCTCCATTTGCATATCCTCTTCCACAAAAAAAGGGCACTGTAGCCATTGCTCGAGTCACAGCTGCCACTGTCAGTCTGCCCATCTATGGTATGTCTAGAGAAGTTATCACTGCATATCTAAATAATGCTTCACACCCCCACAATATTTCCTTCATACTTTGTATTTCAGCCTCACTTCCTTTTCTTTCCCAACCCTTCCATATACTCTACAACTCCTCTGAGCTGAAAATTAGAGGACTGAGTTTGTAAAACACTGAAAAATGTAATGAGAAAATATTGCAACTGAAATGAATTCTGATTTTATTCCCAGACTGAGCCGTCAGCAAACTTGCTGGAGATTTGGGATTTCCCTGGGAATTATTCTTATACCTAAATGTCTTGTGCTATGGCATAATGGGCTGTGTGTCAGCTTTAGCAAAGTGCCTCATTCTCTTTAAGACTCAATGGACCAATCCCCTGCCAGACTGGGTCTGAGAGCAGTGTTCCCTGTAAGCTGCTCAGGAGAAATTCAAACTCTGCTCTGATTAGCAGAGTGCCCATAGCTAGATTTTTTCTTTCTACTAGTAGGGCACATTCACACCTGCCTCAGTGCAAATGAACATTTATTCTGTACGTGGATGGAAAAAATCCACACATGGATGGAAAAGATTAGAGAGAACATTGTCTGAGAGTAAAGGAAAGGGCTTGGATTTGAGCATACCCTAATCTCCTAAGAACCCTGTTCCTCTTTTCAAAGGGCATCCACTCAGAATGTGTAGTGCTTTTCTTCCTGTTTGGGGCACTCTTTGACCCACATTCAGTTTGGAGGGGACATATTTTTGGGTGGTTGACACCCATGAAATGGGCAAGTGCACATTTCAGTCTGGAGGGGGCATGGTCCAAAGAAATGGATTTGGAGATAAACAGCCAATACCAACAAGAGCAAAGCTAGTGGAATTCATTCCAACAGAGCACTGCCTTTGCGAATCTTGTGTATTGTTCTTCACTTCTTACACAGCAACCTAAATCCTGAGTGAACACAGGAAACATCAATACAAATAGCCATAGCACAGATCTGCCCGTCATTATTTGATTGCAAGACTCATGCTATTCTTATATTTTAAGCTTCTCATGAGGGATGGTATCAAACTTGTGGAACCCATGACTGAGTTGCTTCAGATTTCATGACAAATTACTGTACGGGCTCTGGTAGGATCAAATCAGCCCAGATTTACTGCACGTGTCTGTCCCCTTCAGCAGTGGGATGTGTGAGACAAAGGACCATTGGCTACCCTGGTGTACTCTGATCTGAAAAAGGATCAGACAGGACAATAGACTCTGTCTTACAGGAAACAAAGCAAATATTAGAGTCCATATGAGACCCTTCTGCATCCAGGCAGGCTTTGGCTTCTAACAGTCTTTGAATATTCCCTGGCCTCAGCCAGGCCTTCCTTCAAGCAGTCTTCGGACTGGTGCTAAGCACCAGCCAGTCCTTTCAAGGAGCTAGCACAAGATGTTTATCACCTCTCCTGGTCAGCCACTACTGTGATTGACTTTCCTCCTTTTAATTCCTCCCTTTAAGCTTGACACCTAGCTCAGGTGTAGCAGGGTGGGGCTGATTAAGTTCACAGGCTCTTAACCCCCTTAGTGATCTGTGTGAGGTCCATATACCCTTCTACCTGCCCTTATTCAGAATGGCTGCCATTTCCCATTTCTTTCTGTAATGCCAAAGACATAGTCGAGATGGCCACCACTGCCTTCTAGGCTTTGCATTGGAAAGTGAGGCTGCCACAAATGAAAATGGCCACCATCTCCCATTGTTCTCAAATGAGTTGAAGTCAGGCTGGTATCAGGGAAGTTGGCCACCTCCTGGGCTCTGGGGTCAGGAAACTGGATGAGAAATTGTGAGGAGACAGGGAAATGGTGGGTTCACAGAGGGAGCGTGAAGAGACAGGAAGCTGCTCAATGCATGGAGGCACTGGAAATTACTAGGAAAGATGAAGAGCAGGAAGGAAAAACTGAGGGAATTCTAGGGAATGAAGGGTTCAGGAAAGAGACCGATGGGGAAAAAGGGCAGAGAGGAGGCTGAGAAATGCTAGGAAGGTTATTGAGGTGGTGCAGGTAATAAAGATAATACGAGAGATTGGGGGTGCAGGGAAATGTGGGTAGCAGAGTGGAAGAATTGAATAGTAAGAGACTACCAAGATACTGAGAGGGAAAATAGAGGGGAGGGGAGGGTAGAGTATGGACTAACAATGGGAAATTGGGGGAGCATGCAGGGCCAGATTAACTCTTTTGGGGACTCAGGGCTATTAGATTTTGTGGGACCCCCCTAGGCTCTGGGGTGGAGCCAAAAATGAGGGATTCAGAGCGCAGAGAGGGCTGTGGGTTGAGCCAGGAGATGGGTGTGGGAGGGGGTAAAGGCTCCAACTGGGGGTGCGGGCTCTGGGGTGGGGCTGGGAATGAGGCGTTTGGGGTATAGGAGGGGGCACCACACTGGAGCCAAGGAGTTTGGAGTGGGGGGAGGGGCTCAGAGCAAGGGGTTGGGGAGGAGGTGTGGGATCTGGACAGGAGTTAGGGTGAGGGAGGGGGCTTAGGGCTTGGACGGGGATTGAGGTGCGAAGCATTTACCTGGAGCAGCTCCTCTTTGGTGGCACAGGCCATGGGAAGGGGGGCACTGCCTCCTGCAGGTCCCACTGGCTGCAATTCCTGGCCAATGGGAGCTGCAGGGGCAAAGCCTGCAGGCAAGAGAAGCATATGGACACTTGCAGCTTCAGCTCAGCAGGGGGGAGGGACGGCCGTGCACAGAGCCACATTCCCTTGTGACCACCATGCAAGACTGGAATTCAAGGGTCTTAGTGGCTGCAGCCCAGGGCCCCAGGCGAAGGGGGATCAACAAAAATATCTGCATTTTTGGCAGCCTGGAGTTCTTTCTGTAGTAGCCCCCTTAGTCCGGGGATCCTAGGTTACAGTCCCAAAAGTCCCTTTCTTAATCTAGCCCTGGAGCATGTCAGAAGTCTGCATGGGCAGCAGGAGATTGGGTGTCAAGATGGGGCTGAGAGGATGGTGATGAGACAAAATAGCTATGGGAGAGGAATATGGAGAGGGACAGAATGGCAGCTTCCTTTCCCCCTGGATAAATGAGGTCCCCTTTGAGCAGCCAACCAAGATACCTAAGTGCCTTGTCACAGACCAGCATGTACAGCACACACATGACTGCCACATGAAGCGTGACACCATGTGTCATCTGCACTTAGCGCTTTTTTAATGTGATGGTTATCTCAAAGGACACAAATAATGTTCCCTCTAATCTTTTCCTTCCATGTGCCAAATACATTTTCTGTGTGCACCGAAGCATGTGCAAACATCCACCATCAGTAGAAACACAGAATCTAGCTGTGGGTGCTGTGCTAATCAGCTGGACAGCATTCAAATCTCTACTGTGTGGCCACACAAGTGCACAGCTTACAGGGAACACTGGACACAACCCCCAGGAAGGCTCATTCTCTTGGATGAATTTCTAGCCAATCCAAGGTGCCTCAGGGGACTTTCCAACCCTAAAAATATAACAACACCTTCACTACAGTGCTGCTGCCGTGCAACTGTCTAGTTGACAAAAATAGCAACATTCGCTGTGTAATAAGCCAGAGCTGGAAACGAGGGGGATGAGTGTAGAAGCAAATGAGCTTTTTTCGGCATAAGAGAAATTCACAATACTGGGAAATATTTCAACCAATAGGACTGCAATATGCAAATGAAATGAAACCACTTTATAATAACTGACTACGTCCTCCAGCATGTTTTATTTCCAGCCCCACTTTGATTTCAGCATCAGATTAAATTTGCCAAGTATCCCACCACAATAGGCCTGTGGGAAACCAACAGAAGCAGCTGGGATGTTCTGCAAAGACGCTGAGTTCAGACACCCCAAAGGGAAATTTAACACCTTTGATGCCATGTGTGCACAACACCCCAAAGGGATGGTAGAAATTTAACACCTTTGATGCCATGTGTGCACCATCTACCTCAAAGGGCTGTTGGACGTATCCAACAGGTAGCAGCATCTTTTTGCTGTTTCTCCTAGAAGGAGCTCACCTCATACTCCTGGAATTCCTCCTCTTCCACCTCATAGGACACTGTTTGGATTCTGACATCACTCTCCACCAGGCATGGCCCTTGTGCTTCTTGTCCATCTTCAGCCTCCGAGGAGACCTCTTTGTTTTCCATGAAGGTCGTCTCACAGCTCTCCCCCTTGTTGTCCTTGGCTTTCAGATTGCTCTCATCCTTCACTAGGATGAAGTTGGAGCCATACAGTGCTTCAACAGCCAGCTGCAGAGAACTGGCATCCAGCAGCTGGTGAGTCCTGGCACTGCCAGTGTTTTGAAAGATGTAAAGTTTCCCCTGGCAGCAATGGCTGGGGTGGTGCTGATGGTAGGAGTAGCTACCATGAAGGTGCCTGCTGCTCTTGGCCAGCAGAGGGTTCTGAAGCTCACTCAGACTTTCCATTCTGCTGAAAGGGGCCTGGAGGTGCTAAGAGAAGGGGAACCCTGGGGAATAAGAGAGGGTAGAAGGAGTGAATGTGTAATCTCAACAAGGCGAGGTTGTGGATTCAGGGTACCATTCATAATAAAATCTACTGGTCACAGCAGAGATGACTGGAGGACACTGGCCATTGAAAAATGGTACTATCTGGCTGCACTAGAGAGAACAAGAATTTAGGGATCCTATTCTATAAGCACTGTCTCAGGCAGTTGAGGAGCTGTTCATCAGTCACAAGCTGATCATGAAGTAGGCATGTGGCCGTGTGCTGAGATGACCTGATTCATTAGGCTGGGACGAGTGGAAGATCTGCTGTACCTATAATGCCTGTTGAGAAGGGACCATACAGGCAGATAGCCTGCAACAGGCATTCCTTTCTGGTGGCTCATACTTTATATCACTGTAGTGTAGAGGATACCAGATGGCATTGCAGTAGATGCACAGCTGGCATCCACTTGAGGGGCCTTCCTGACATCTGAAACTAGCAGGACACACCATGAGTTACAGCCCTTCCTGCATTACAGCTTCAGCTAATGGTTTCTAAATATACTCCAGCTTTAAGGGCACTTTTGGATGCCTGGGCTGGGTCTGGCACGGGAGTGAGTGGAAATTCAGGGAAGATGGAAGTGAGAATGTTTTAATTAATGTTACAGTCATAGTGTTCTCTTGGGGGTTTGCCTCTCTCCATGCACTATGCACAGCACAGTAAGGGAGAGCGGGATTGAGACTCTGAGGTCTGCTTTATGCCTACAGCTGCTCTTTTCTACCTAGTGAAAGTCCTTATAAATTCCCTATCACTACAGTATTTAAGCTCCTTGCAGTCATTAATGTATTTATCTGCCCAACGCTGCTGTGAGAGGAATGCTGTTGTCCCAATTATACAGATGGGAAACTGAGGCACAGAGAAACAAAAGGTATGGCTACACTTTGAGCTGGAGGCATGATTCCTGTCTCCTAGAGACACTCACGCTAGCTGTCATTGAGCTAGCCTGCTGTGAACAGAATGTAGCTGTGGCTACCCTGAGTACATCCTAGGGTCTCAGAGAGGTACGTACTCGGTGACTAGCCAGGGTGCCATTTCAGGAGGGCAGGGGGCTACAGACGTGCGTACTGAGATGGTGCTTGCTCTTTTTCCCATTCCCTTACCTATCAGGGATTGAGCCCTACTGTAGGTGTGTCTCCATTAGATACACTACAATGGCTCATCCAAGGATGCATCTACACAGTAGAGTTATTTCGGAATAGCCGTAATTCCGAAATAACAATCCAAGTGTCTACACAGCAATTCTGTTATTTCAAAATAAATTTGAAATAACAGATTGCTTATTCTGACTTCTGTAAACCTCATTCCATGAGGAATAATGCCTATTCTGAAATAGCTATTACGGAATAGCAGTAGTATGGACACACCACTGCTACTATTTCTAAATATCGCCTCCCCAGGGCCATTCAAAATAATTATTCCTCAATGGCCCCTGGGGCTCTAAATCGAAGTAGCATGTCCAAATTGGGGAAGCATCTACTGGTCACAGCAGAGATGACTGGAGGACACTGGCCATTGAAAAATGGTACTATCTGGCTGCACTAGAGAGAACAAGAATTTAGGGATCCTATTCTATAAGCACTGTCTCAGGCAGTTGAGGAGCTGTTCATCAGTCACAAGCTGATCATGAAGTAGGCATGTGGCCGTGTGCTGAGATGACCTGATTCATTAGGCTGGGACGAGTGGAAGATCTGCTGTACCTATAATGCCTGTTGAGAAGGGACCATACAGGCAGATAGCCTGCAACAGGCATTCCTTTCTGGTGGCTCATACTTTATATCACTGTAGTGTAGAGGATACCAGATGGCATTGCAGTAGATGCACAGCTGGCATCCACTTGAGGGGCCTTCCTGACATCTGAAACTAGCAGGACACACCATGAGTTACAGCCCTTCCTGCATTACAGCTTCAGCTAATGGTTTCTAAATATACTCCAGCTTTAAGGGCACTTTTGGATGCCTGGGCTGGGTCTGGCACGGGAGTGAGTGGAAATTCAGGGAAGATGGAAGTGAGAATGTTTTAATTAATGTTACAGTCATAGTGTTCTCTTGGGGGTTTGCCTCTCTCCATGCACTATGCACAGCACAGTAAGGGAGAGCGGGATTGAGACTCTGAGGTCTGCTTTATGCCTACAGCTGCTCTTTTCTACCTAGTGAAAGTCCTTATAAATTCCCTATCACTACAGTATTTAAGCTCCTTGCAGTCATTAATGTATTTATCTGCCCAACGCTGCTGTGAGAGGAATGCTGTTGTCCCAATTATACAGATGGGAAACTGAGGCACAGAGAAACAAAAGGTATGGCTACACTTTGAGCTGGAGGCATGATTCCTGTCTCCTAGAGACACTCACGCTAGCTGTCATTGAGCTAGCCTGCTGTGAACAGAATGTAGCTGTGGCTACCCTGAGTACATCCTAGGGTCTCAGAGAGGTACGTACTCGGTGACTAGCCAGGGTGCCATTTCAGGAGGGCAGGGGGCTACAGACGTGCGTACTGAGATGGTGCTTGCTCTTTTTCCCATTCCCTTACCTATCAGGGATTGAGCCCTACTGTAGGTGTGTCTCCATTAGATACACTACAATGGCTCATCCAAGGATGCATCTACACAGTAGAGTTATTTCGGAATAGCCGTAATTCCGAAATAACAATCCAAGTGTCTACACAGCAATTCTGTTATTTCAAAATAAATTTGAAATAACAGATTGCTTATTCTGACTTCTGTAAACCTCATTCCATGAGGAATAATGCCTATTCTGAAATAGCTATTACGGAATAGCAGTAGTATGGACACACCACTGCTACTATTTCTAAATATCGCCTCCCCAGGGCCATTCAAAATAATTATTCCTCAATGGCCCCTGGGGCTCTAAATCGAAGTAGCATGTCCAAATTGGGGAAGCCTGCCTCGGACTAATTTTGAGGCTTCCCTGTAGTGTAGACATGCTATTTTAAAATAAGCTATTTTGGCATATTTTTTCTGGAATAGCTTATTTCAAAATAAGCATGCAGTGTAAACGCACCCCAAGAGGAGGTAGTTAGACTGATGGAAGAATTTTTCTTTTGTCCTAGTTGTGACTATACTGGGGCTTAGTTTGGTTTAATTATGCAATGCAGAGTCTGACATTTTTCATGGCCCTGAGCAATGTAGTTAAGGTGACCTAACTTTGTAGCATAAACCAGTTCTAAGTGACTTGCCCAGAGTCACTCAGAATGTTTGTTGCAGAGCAGAAATTGAAGCCCAGTCTCCGGCAGCCCAGAATAGCATCCTAACTACTGTGCCATCTTTTCTTTCTAAACCCTTTTATCTAATCTAATGCAACCTCACAGCTTTAATGAAACCAGTGCCACCCCACAGCATAGAAAAGCCCTAACAGAGAGCTCAGTTCCAGGGATTCTAACTAGATCTGGCTGGCATTTTTTTTTGCACTAAACAATTTTCCATCAGAAAATATGATTATCAGAATCAAACTTTGTCATGGGAAGGTGTTAATTTTGACCAAATTGTTTGACTCTCCATCAATAAAATCTAAACAAAACAAACATTTGGTTTTGAATGGACATTTCTGAAGTGAGATGAAAAAATCTTTAAAAAAATATCAATTCAAATAAAAATGTATTCATTTGGGAATAATGAATAATTTCATCTTGATTAACAATGTAAACATTGCTCATTTTAACATTTCCAAATCAAAATCTTTTGGAATCTTTTGTTCTGTGAAAATGGCTGATATTTTGATTGTTCCTCCTGATTTGGGATGAATACAGATGTCAGAATTCCAAAATTTCCTCTGGGGTACAGACTCCATTATTTGGCTACCCCTAATTCTAACACAGTGTTTTTACAGAAGTTCTTTAGCATACATCTATCTCCTCAGCATACGTCAATGGGCTACCTTGCTGCCTTGCAGCCCAAAATGTTATTTCTCTTTAGATACCTTAGTAATTTCATCCTCTGCAGTATGTTATATATTATAGACATATTCATCTGCCTAGTGTAGGACTCCCTGTGGCATGCCATGCTTTCTGATCTAAAGCATATTGCCTTAGCTTTAGCTGTCATCCAGAAGAAAATTTAAATAAAGAAGTTGAATTAAAAACTCCTGAGGATGAAAAGCCCAATTAGCTCCCACATGTTCATCCCTAAGGCCAATCCCTGATTCTCTCCTACTATACAATTCCTAGTATTATATCTAGTTTCAAAAATTCATGAGCTTCCATCCTTTCCCTTGGGGCAGCATTTCCCAAACTTTTGAAAGTTGAGGCACCTTCCTTCAGGAAAATGACCCCCCCCCCTTTTTTCCCTCATCCCCAAAGCCTTCAGCACCACCTTGTGTTGCCAGAGGCTAATCCATGTTCATTCACACATCCTTCATGCCTCTCCTCACAAGAAGAGTCAATAGAGATTATTTAGTTTGACCATGTCAGAGGCCACCAACACTACCCGGCATGCACACCTAACCCCAACAACCAAAATAAGACCAATGGCATGCCCCAGATTCTTAATTTTCCAATCTAAGAATTTCTATTTCAACCATTACCAAATAAGGAAGAATTACTATAAATACATTAATAAAGGCAGGTATAAGAATATATGGAAAATTTTAAATAGAGAAGTGAAACAATCTGAATGGAATGTGTTTTAAGAATTTTAAGGGAATGATGTAACAAATTATAGCACTGACAGTCAATTCTAGGATGACACAGAGAACTGGGTTTGTAATGGAGGGTCGGAAAAGGAGGGAAAAAGTAATCCTGACAAGAACTTTCCTGTGAAATTAAATTCTATTCTAATAAAATAATGGAACAACTATTAAAAGGTGAAAAATCACAAAACAAGGCTAATCATTCAATCATGGAGTTTGCGAAGAAAAGATCTTGGCAGACAAACTTGCATTTTTAGTAAAGCATTTGACAACTTGTCTCATTACATTTTTTTCTGCCAAAGTTAATTCAAAGTGGGAAATAG